TGAAGCAAGAGAAAAGAGAGAATGCCAAGACTACATCCTCTCTCATTTTTTGATTGTATCAGTGTGATAGAATCCAACTTGTGTGACAAAATAGCTATTTGATCTGCCATATAAACCTAGAGGATATGTACCTAAGCCATTTTTGGTCAAATAAAATAACTGTGTACATACGTTGGCCAGTACAGGAAGTGATTGTTTCTACATCTTTATTCTTCAATTGTTCCATTCCACTTAAAAGATGAACTGTGGCTGTGGGAGAAAAGTATGCATGAAAGCCCAGGAATATTGAAGAAAACTATAATTAATCATTTTGTTCCAGGTACAGTGATGATATTTATTAATCATTTTGTTCCAGGTACAGTGAAGATATTTAATTTTTATGTTTATTTACCCAGTTCACACTTCACAAGGCTACATGAAACCAAAGTGATACTTTTTAGAATTTTGTGACAATCTGTGAGTCAGAAATGTGCACAAAAATATGCACCTTAAGACAAACAATGCATAATATTATACTGAGGGAAAATGTCAAAAAGTACATATTCTAAAAGTGCATATAACACAAAGCAGAAAAGTTGTTCTATGTAATTATATACCAAATTTATAGGTAAAACTTCCCTTTACCTCAACATATAAACTTTATAAAGTAATGTAGAACAATTGGGAAAGTGAAATGAACAGGATGAACATTGACAGATTTAACCACCATTTAATTATTCTCTATCAGTGATTAATTCTGTCCCGACACCTCTCCATTAGTGCCAATAGAGGAACAAACATGACATTCAAATAACTAAAGTTGTAGTAAAACAATTTATAAAAAGCAAAATAGAAATAAAGGCTTGGTTAGTTTGATAGAATAATAGAAAGTTCTGTTTGCTGCAAGATGGTATCACAATATATAACGAGGCAAGGGGCTTAGATAAAATATGTACAACGTAAGATTAAAGTAATCAGGTATATTTCACCCAGAAAGAGTTTAGGAAAGAAAATAATTATAATGATTTTAAAATTTTAGGAGACTACAGTGTAAGTGATAAAACAGATTAGTTCTCTATTGCTTTAGAGAGCAAAACTCAAAATAATGGCTTCAAACTAAATGAAAGAACATGACAACGAAATGTTGGGGGAATTACTGCATGGAAAATTAGTTTTGACAGTCAGACAGAGTAAGAAGAGCCTCAGAAGGCATCACATTGCAATTTATTATAAACACTGTAACAGTCTGTTATTCTGCGGTGGTAACAAGTACTGGATGAAATCTAGAGATCCTGACAATTACATCAATCTAATTAAGAATTCAGATTATAGTTTTAGAGCTTCTGATCCAAAAACCCACATGAGTACAGGCTCATGACTTGTTATTTATCTTACGGAAATGTTGGTCTTGTGATTCAGTGTATGTGGCCTATGCTGTTTAAAAGATGGTGATTTCCCATTTTGCATCATCACAGTCTTATAGCAATAGCAATACCACTTAGCCTTATGTACTGCTTCATAGTGCTTTACAGCCAGAGGTGGTATTCAGCAGGTTCTGACCAGTTCTGGAGAACCGGTAGTGGAAATTTTGAGTAGTTTGGAGAACCGGCAAATACCACCTCTGACTGGAGATTTTACAGTATCCTTCCTCTGCCACACCCACCAAGCCATGCCCAGTAAAAAAATGTGAATCCCACCACTGTTTACAGCCCTCTCTAAGTGGTTTACAGAGTCAGCATATTGCCCCCAACAATCTGGCTCCTCATTTTACCAACCATGGAAGGCTGAGTCAAACCTTGAGCCGGTCAGAATCAAACTCCTGGCAGTAGGCAGAGTTAGCCTGCAATACTGCATTCTAACCACTGAGCCACTATGGCTCATATGACTGGAGCAATTCCAGTATATACACCTCATATAGATAATTTAGCTCATAAAATTTGTACTTCCATTTGATTACTCTTGAATTCTGTATCCACTGATAATTCAATACAATCTTACATATTATCTCCTATATGTTAATTATATACACACACACACACACACACACATATACACACACATGTTTATACGATATATATATATGGTTAAAGGCTCCCAGTTAATGCAGAAAAGCTAACACAAGTAAGCAGCAGTGATGATACATTGAAAACAGAGAATTTGAATCCTAAAGTACTCATTCTTCGGGGAGATATAAATGCTATAACACATATCTTAAAGCTGACTTCTTAGCCCTAAATATGTTAATATAATCTATCTGGCAATACAGTAAATTGCCTTCTTGGCCTTTTTACCAGTCAACATCCTGAACTATAAGTAGTTTTGATTCATAATTGAAAAGCCTGTACAGTATAACTGTGACTCTTTAACATTGATTGAAAATAATGAATGCCATACTCCAAAGACACTTATATATAATTTTAAGAGGTAACAGATTAATGTCTTGTGGGCATCTTTCATGCTATAGAGCAAATTGAGAAAACTGATTAGTTTAATATAGTAAGAGTTCATAAAATGGTATGTGAATTGTTAGGTATATACTATAAAAAGATTAAGATACTTAATGCAACAAGTATAAGAGATAATCTATAAACTTAGAAATTTCAGAAGTGTTTCTGTAGCCTAAGTATGTTATTGTAACAATTTACAATTATTATTTAGATGTAATAGTCTGTTAAAACTGAGGAAGTGAAGACTTGCATTTAAATTCATATAAAAGTTTGTAATATTTGATTGGGCTTCACTACAATCCTACAGAAATATGTCTTAATCAGACAAGAGTTATTGTAGTCCATTATTCTTAGCCAGGATTCATTATTGTAGTCCATTATTCTTAGCCAGGATTCATTATTGTAGTCCATTATTCTTAGCCAGGATTCATTATTGTAGTCCATTATTCTTAGCCAGGATTCATTCCCAACTTTGTAATTCAATATATTTTTAGCTGGGAGCCATGTCTGTACCTGTGGAAAGCATTTGTTGCTTCATGCAAATTATCTGTTTATGAAGATATACATATCTGCAAGATATATTGAACCATTAAAGCAATAGGCAAAGTGATCCATATGTTCTTAAACAGCTCTGATTTCAGAGAGCCTTCAGAAAACCTCTAGCAACTGATAAGTACTGCACAATTAAAGTGACAATGGAGTCATGCATGCTATTTTTTTGCTTTTATTTTGTTTTATATTCTTGTCTAATAAAGAAAAGTTATTCATTTCTATATTATCTATTTATTTCCTTGCTTCTTTGACTGGAAATTACCAACTTCACTGTTGAATAAGATAGAACTGGCCCAAACAGACTCTGTTGCAAACCAGGGGTCCTTGGACTCCTGTTCCAGGTGGCAGTCATGGTTAGCAATGCCTTTCAGTTGTGCACCTATTGCACCCATTCATGGACCAGGAGACTACTTTCCAGCATTCATGTCCCAGTCACATCTTGGATGGATTATTTTATGTGTTGTACAGGAGCTGTCTTTGAAATACACCTGGAAACTAAAGCTGGTGCAAAAAGTAGCGCAGGCGTAATGTGCATATCAAAATTAGTACGTTAAACCTTTACTCTGTGACCTTGATTGGTTATCAGTTAGTTTCCAGGCTCAATTTGAAGGGCTGGTTATGACTTATAAAGATCTACAAGACATGGAGATGGATTATTTGAAAGACCATCTGTCTCGTTATATTTATCCATTCCATTAGACCTGGCAAATGGGATATGTTATGGGTCACATTCACCAAGATTTTCATCTGACAGGAGCCAGGACCTGCGATGGCACCCATCTTCTAGAACAGCGGTCGCCAACCGGTGGGCCGCAGCCCACTGGTGGGCCGTGGAAAAATTTTGGTGGGCCGGAGAAGAAATGGCCCCCAAAAGCAATTAATCTGGGCCGCGCAGTTCTTGTGCCACCTGGCTCTCCGAGGCACCCAGAGTCAAGCCCCTGAGATGCATGTGCCAACCAGCTCCTACACCTGCCGGTGGCAGCAACAGCAGTCCCCTCCCCCAGCGCCCACTGTCAGCTCTTCCCCATTAGTTCTCTAGCTTTGAATTGCTCCCGGCTCTCTCTCTTTCCTCCTCCCCCCGCCCACATGCAGGCAGGAAAGGAAAGGGAGACGGAGCTGTGCACAGCTCTCCCCTTTTCCAGTCCTTGCTGCCTCTCCCAACATCGAAGCCTCGGAAATGCAGGCAAAGCCGCCACAGCGGTAGCGTCCTGAGTTGCCTTAGCATGCTCGGTTAGTTAAGAATCGCCCTACCTAGAGAAGGAAGTGGTGCTGGAGGAGGAGGAGGCAGTAATGGAGAAGCAAGCAACTCAGGGTGCTAACACTGTGGTGGCTTTGCCTGTGTTTCTGAGGCTTTGATGTTGGGAGAGGCAGCAAGGGCTGGAAAAGGGGAGAGCTGTGCATGGCTCCATCTCCCTTTCCTTTCCCGCCTGCACTTGGGTGAGGGGCAGGAAAGAGAGAGAGACGGGAGCAATTCAAAGCTATAGAACTAATGGGGAGATATATAATGTATATTTAACATAAAAATTATATTAAATATATTAGCTTTTTTTAAAAAACCGTATTCGTGGTCCTCGGGCTTTAAAAGTATGAGTTTGGTGGTCCCTGAGATCCAAAAGATTGGCGACCTCTGTTCTAGAACATTATCTTCCCTGAAGTTATATTGGGCCCAATCCTGCTGGCCTTTAGGAAATTCCTGAAGATATCGCTGTGCCATCAGGATTGGGATCCCTTAGAGGTTGTGGAACTACAAGGTAGCTGTATTGTTTGTGAATTGTTAGTTGGCACTCTCCTATTTTTTTATGTCTTTGGTTAATCACTTTTCATCATTTAACTTTATATGACTATAATATTTTGCTGTAAGATGCCTACAATCACATATGAGAAAGGAGGAGGAGGAGGAGGAGGAGGAGGAGGAGGAGGAGGAGGAGGAGGAGGAGGAGGAGGAGGAGGAGGAGGAAAAAAGTGTACTGTTCACATTATGCAATATTTACCAGATATTTGATGCTGACTTTTAATTTACAGATGGCTATCCACAAGAAGAAATGGTTTACAGATGGAGAAAAAACTCAGTAGAAGCTGCAGATCAGAAATCTTGGAGACTTTATCAGTTTGACTTCTTGGGACTCAGAAATACTTCTGATGTTGTGCAAACATCAGCAGGTAATAAATAAGAATTTCCTGTCCTGGAGTGATAGTTGTATATCCTAATATTCTTGGTTTCATAAACATAAAATTACCATTCAGTACTCAAATGAATCCACTGCTTGAAATGCCAATTCAAGAAAACATCTCTCCTGTACATGCACATCTATCTGGAGACAATGAGGGAAAACCCTTGAAAGATCCCAAGCTGAAACTTCTGAAAAATCTATGCTTCACTACTTCAAGCGCCAGGTTCAGAAGAATGCTTGATTTCTTCACAGAAGTTTTTTGTCAGCTCTAGTGTGAACCAGTGAATAGAGATATCTTTTTTTCTTTCCTTCATAATAATGCATTTAGAATGCAGGTGTCATCTAAATAAATAAAAAGTAGATGAATTTCTCCAAATTATGATTCATTATCAGTGACTCTCAACTTAGTGTTTTATAAATTAATGGACAATTGAGAAATAACTGACCTTGGTAATTAAGTGAATGTTCATTTTCAGGAGCAGTATGTTTTTGATAATCAGATATGAGTGTAACCAGTTTTAAGTGAAGTGTTCCGTCATCCAGTGATATATAACTTTGGGTTATTTGGTGATCTTTGAGCTTGGTGGTCTTTTTACAGACATTTATTAATAATGGTTAACACTGATGATGTGACCTAGCTTGATAATGGGTTTTGTAGCAACATCCTGGATTAGATAGATTTTGGTCTGGCCCATTTAGATGATTAGGTGTTGCTCTTGTAGTAGTCCTGACCATCTATTAAATCAAAGGAGAGTTACAATTTTAATATATGTTCTGTTAGTATTTGAGAACATGTATGCATTAAAACCACTTACTGTGTTATTGCTGGATGTCATAATGAACAGCCCAGTTTATTGGATAATCTGCAGTCTTTGACAGGTGCATTCTCAGGTCAGATATGGATTTCAATCTTATAAAAATCTGCCACTGTCATAGAGAAATCCAAGTCTTAAACAAGTCGATTGGATTTTTTATTTCTGTCCATCTGTCTTTTCATTTTTCTTCCATTCTTTAATTGCTTAATAAATAGCTATTTTTCACATTTTTGTCATTTAGTCTTGATGTTATTTTTCATTCATGCGTCATATCATTTTTAAATATAGTCAAAGGAAATTGCAGGTAGCAAGATCACTGATAGTTGATTATTGTTGAACAGCCCGGAGTGTATTGTATTAGCTGAACCAGTTAAATAAGACATTTCCCTTATTATTCAATCTTTTCTCCAGGGTTTGGTAGGATGTGTTTTTCCTCTCCTCCAAAACATTTTAAAGACCTGGAAAATTGCCAAGGTAATGAATGCTTTTCCCCCCATTGCCCTTATCGACAGACTTTAATTTAAACTTAATGGAATTCATTTTAGCTTTTGCACAAACTATTGTCCAGCGTGATAGTAAATGCAGAAGTATGCATGGGGATCTATGGATTATTAACCACTCTAGAAATTAGGATGTGTTTAATTGTGCTCAGGGAAGGAGTTCCACTCCTACTCATGGTTAAACTTTGTGAAGAGAATGCTATCCTGATACCAACATAATATTTGTATATCGTAAATAAACCCAGGTTGGGAAGGAAAAAGAAAAAAGAAAATGCCACACTTTTCTAGATTGCTATGCAGGGAACCTTGAATAACTCATAGCTACAAAGCTTGTAACACAGACACAGGCTCTAATGATACACCCATATTTCTCTGCTTTGAGAACTTAAGGATAGATAGACTATATAAACCATTCTAAAAGCCATTAAGACAAGATAATGCTAAATATTGACTGGTCCAAACAAATGTACTCTTATTCCATAAGCAATTTTTTTTTCTTTTCTGATTGCTACATAGAGTTACAAATCTCCTTTATCTCCATGTCGATTTGAAATACCCTAAGATGTAGGAATGGTCTTAGGAATTTTTGGACTCCTAAACAAAAAGGTCACTAAGATCCCATATGGAAGACAGATCTTTATAAAGCTGTTCCTCTTTTTGAGCTCATGATATTAAGAAAGTTAATGAGGCACCTCGTTGATTATCTGCTTGTGATACTGTTGTTCCTTTTACCGGAGATCTGAGTTTTCTGAAGGGAACATGTTGAGGGTTTACTTACTAGAAATAGTCTATATCTAATGTTACTATATATATCAAGCCTTGGAAGTACAGTAGTTATAATGCCGATTGCAAACTCTGCCCACAGCCTAGAGCTCTATCCTGACGGGGCTCAAAGTTGACTCAGCTTTCCATCATTTCTAGGTTAGCAAAATGAGAACCCAGATTGTTGTTGGCAATATGCTGGATCTATACCCACCCCAGAATTCTGTAAAGTACTATGGGGTGGCATATAAATCTATGTGCTATTGCTACAGTATGTATAAAACTCTCTTTATAATGAACTTTAACTGGGTGAAATGGTGCATCATAAGGCAACAATTTTTGAATTGAGGTTCCTCAAATGGGCAAACTTATAGAATGTGTTCAAGTCTGGAGCCCATGATTTTCTGACAGTATGAAATTTGGGGAAGTTGTGGCTGCTTTAGTGCTACTGGGTGCTGCACTGCTGGTTATTTCTGCTTTCATTTGATCTTCATTTTCAACATCCATGACAGTTTCTTAGCCTATCTTGCAATCCTTCACTCCCTCCCTCACCCAGAAGCAACCATTTTCCTACCTGCTGGGAAGGGAAGGGAAAGGAAGGACAGGACAGGACAGGACAGGACAAGGAAGAAGGAATTTTTGCATACCTTTTCTGGTGTCATGGATCTGCTCCCGGACTCCTCTCCAGATGCAAGTTCAGAGAAGGAAGGTGACTTTGAGTCTTCAGATGAAAGCGTGGAGCTGAGTATTGGTCAGGATCAATGCTCAGAGAATGCTAGCCTGATGAAGCAGCCTCAGATGAGTTGATCAGATGAGTAACAGGCTGAGGCTGAGGCAAGATGGCCACAAGGCTCCAGGCTAGGAAGGAGAGCAGCTGCCAGCTGTTAGCAATGATGAGGTGGAGTCTACAACTCCTCCTGATCCAAGGACATGTAGAGTAGGGAGGAGATAGGTACAATGCCAGTCAGCTAGACTACTCATGAGGAGGTAACCTTGCCTCTCATGAAGGGCTGCACCACTTAATTACTTAACCCAGCCCTGAAGACTTGAGTGTTGCTGAAGCAACATGCCCAGTTTTGTACCTTGTGTTGCTCATGCCATGTATCCTGGCCTGTTTGACTCATGCACTTCCTTCCTGGACTGTGTGTGCGCCCATTGGACTCGAGTACCCAGTGGCCAAGGGGTGCTTTCTGAGGACCTGTTTTGTTTTGATAACACATTAAGGTCATGAATATGCAATTGTATGAACAAGTTAATCCATACACTTATCAGCAGTTACTCCTTATATCAATCCTAAATGAAATATTATAGCTGCATAAATTATTTCAAAAAGTTACACTTCTGTTGTGAGAAAAATTGGAATAAAAATTACTAGGTGACTAACTCCTAGAACTTAAAGCCACTCTTGTGTAACTGATGGCTATTGTACTCAGGAAGTTACAAGTTAAGCACAATCAAAACATTATAAATAATTCAGAAATTTAGCAGATCAATATATCATTGCAAGTCCTTTAGCCCTGACTTACATCAGTAAAGTCTGATATTGTAATATGAAGTGATGAATTCTTCAAAACTGAAATTAAACACATCAAGGTATGTGCTTTCCTGCTGATATTGGAACACATTGTATTATAACAACAAAACACTGATATATAACAGTGATATGTGCTGCAAACACATCAATAATGCATGTCAATTGATAAAGTCTAGTACCTTGCTAAAATGAAATAAACATATCACAAAATCTTCTGATTATACAGTTCAGTGATCACTTACAAATGAAGTCAATGCATAAGCAAAAGACTAACATTTTGTGGATAGTTTCCAATTCTTAAAATAGGAATAAATTGAAAACTTTTCAAGATGCATATTTATAAGAGCCACGGTGGCACAGTGGTTAGAGTACAGTACTGCAGGCTACTTCTGCTGACTGTTAACTGCCTGCAATTTGGCAGTTCGAATCTCACCAGGCTCAAGGCTGACTCAGCCTTCCATCCTTCCAAGGTCCGTAAAATGAGGAGCCAGATTGTTTGGGGACATAGAGCCATCTTTCTGGGCATGCCAGCCATCACCTGTTGCTTTTCTGGTTTCTGGTGCTCCCCTGTGGGTGTGCATGTGCACACACTCCGGTTTTGGCACTCGGTGCCGAAAAAGTTCGCCAACACTGTACTAGGGTTACTAGTACTAAAGTACCATAATTATCTATTTATTTAGCACATGATACCAAAATGATAATGTAAGACTTTAAACAAATAAAGAAAATTATCTTTATTACAAGAGCTGTACTAACTTAAGAATGACATTTATTTATAGAAATGAATTCCTTGAATATTCTTGAATATTTTTCATGCATATATAATGAATATTTATTTCAGTTTTGCAAACTAATCTTTAAATAGCAGATCTAGAAGTTGTGTTGTAAATTGCAGGAACATGCACAAACATATTTTAGTTAAGTTAGCTAAGGTAGAAATGGTAAAATATTTTGGGTAATACAAGCATTGCATTTGATATCTTTTATTAACAGACGTTCATGATGTTAGTCTTATGATTAAGAAGGCACAAATGTATTTATGATGCAGATTAAGGTTAAGGACCTAATTGAAAATAGAAGACAACACAAAAAGGGAAAGAAGAGGTTTGAATCCTGCATATTTTAATTCATAACTAACCTTCTAGGCAAGAATACAATTCCAGAAATGCACACTATGCATGTAGAACAAGACAGGCCTAAATCTGCAACATAAAATCAAAAATAAAATAAATAGAATAATATCATAACATAGAAAAATAGAAGGGGAGTGGAATCCTACTTCATATATATCTCCTTGTTGCTCTTTGTAGATATTTCCTTCTGATTTCCTCACTCTTCCTCTTGGTTGATTCACTTTCTACTACTTGGAGGGAGCAAT